AGTAGAAAATTGAATCATTAGAAAATCGTCGTTTTTTAGTTGTAACAAATGTTATGAATACCTATAACTTATGCGTACCTATGAAATAATACTGAACCTAATCACGCCAAGATTTAAAATTAACAATTTTTCGAGCATATTAAAATAATATTATAAGCATTATATTTTTGTACACATCAAAATAAATGGTAACTTCTTATAAAATATATACTTTATTCAATAATTATTAGGTAGTCTTTTATCTAAAATGCCTATACCAGATATTACCTCTAGTGTAAATTGTAATTTCTAATAAGTATTGTACATCGATTATAGTGTAAGTATGTGTAATGTAGTATTATGCACAATTGTATCATAATTATATTATATTTGATGGTTTAAAATATATATTTTATTTTCAATTATTTCTGAACTATATGAATTAGGAACCTAGCATAGCCTTTACGGCAGGGCCTTGCGCCTAAATCAACCAGAACAGGTAATACCTCTAATAACACTTAAAAAAAAATCAAACACCCGTAATCCACAAAACCCTAATATTTTCTCTTAAAAACGCCAGAATTATCCAAAAAAAAAAAATAACATTTTATACTTCAATCTTTGTGTGAATTAATTTGTAAGGATTTTATGTGGTTCGTTAGTTGTTGATTTTTTGAATATTGACATTTTTATCATTTCTTTTATTTCTTTTCAGTTTATTTTGTAATAGTTAATACCGACATAAACCTGTAGTTGTATAATACTTGATTACAAGCAACTTTTTATGAGACCATTTTCTGACCATCCTACAGATTTATTTATTGTGTCCATTATTAATACAATGGTTCTTAACCGGTGTGACGTGGCACAATACTGTGCCGAGAGATCGACTAGGTGTGCCGCGAGAAGTTTCTGATATTTGTAATAATTATTCTGGTAAAAATATTGAAAAACGTTTTATTATAGTATCGTTGCATTTGTGTTGAGTGTGCCGCGAAAACTTGTGATGTATAATGATGTGCCGTGAACCATAAAAGCTTGAGAACCTCTGCATCAATAATTTAGTACAAGCTAAACAAGTTTCCAAAGCGATTTCCAAAAAAAATTTTAATATCTACATATTTACTTCATTATTCTACACGACTGTATTATCGATATACACCATTTAGTATCTTTTCTACACAAAAAAATTTGTTTAAAGAAAACAATAAGATGCAACATAATACAAATGTATATATTAATTATATATATATATAAATTAATTGGCAGATTTTGTGTAAGTATATTTTCATAATTTATTAATTTTATCACAATACCTTTTTACGCCTCAATGTGATTTAATTAAATTAATAAGCATTTAAGATTATACTTCAACTATTATGTGAATTACCTATAGGTATCTATTATATTTTGTATTAAATAAGAATTTAATCCGAATTTTTAAAATAAGACTGTCAAAATTTACAGTTTAAGACAAAATAATTTAAAGTTTAAAATTAAGATATATTAAAGAGTTTGTTACCTATAGGCTATAAGAATATGAATTTAAAACCAAAAAGTTAAATACCTACTTATAATCGTACTCTACATTATAACTTAAGAAGTATTATGAAACACTTAAAAAAAAAATTGTAATTGAATGCTAGGGCCGCTAGGGGAAGATTATTAGTAGGCATATTTTAAAACATGGACGAAAAAAATTCGATTTTAAAATACAAGACTGACTTTTTCGTATAATAGCAGCATCATCACAAGTTATAGAATACAATACCACCACCACACTAAATTTTGTCAAAAAAATGTATTATAATTTCCAGTAATTTTGTTTATTTTTATTAACGGTATGAAAACTTATTGGGAATCTTTTATTCAATTTTCAATTATTAACTATAAGATGAAAAGCCTTTATGAGTTTTTAATTTAAAAATATTTGCACATTTTTGTGAATTTTTCGAACATTTTTGTAGTAATTCTAACATCAGATAATCTTAAAAAAGCATTGTGTTTAATGTTCAAGCTTTTTTTAAATTACACTTGGTAATTAAAACTTATGAAGAACATATTATTAAATGTTCAAACTTTTTATCACGTGATAAAAAACATCATTGTAAAATTAATAGGTACCTACATCGCTGTCATCAGAATCAACAATGTTAGCTAAAACTAGGTTAGGTTGTTAAGTTAAGTTAAAAAAGCTAAATATTATAAAATTGAAGAGATTAATTTAAGCCTACACGTGAAAATGTGAAAAAGAGGCTCTGTATAACTATGTATCGGTGGTGGCAAACCTTTTTTAGGCCAAGTGCCAAATGTTTCAAATCAAGGTTTTGAAGTCATATCATAAATACTAAATAGTGCATAAAAATTTTTACATAGGAATATTATAATTCTTTAAATATATATAATTTTTTTTTTTTGAATTTTACATAACTAAAATTTTATAAATATCATAACTTTTTATAAGTTTAATTTTTCATGTAGGTACTACTGAACTTTGACCAACGAAACACTTTTGACAAGTGTGTGTAGTTTACCACCCCTGATGTATGTTATGTCCTTGATTTCAACTACGTTCAGACACTTAGGATCAGAAGATCCACAAAATTGAAAGAATGATTTTATATGCATATATACCTAACATGTAAGTGGTATACCTATGTCGCTTGCACAGTTGCGTATACTTTAACTAAGCCTTTGTTTATCCTGCAACATTATTATTAAAATGCTGGAAATATGGGATTTTTATAGCCCCATATCCTGTCATGATCAACGTAATGGGTACCAAAAATAAACAAAAATATAAGTATTAGTTATTACTAAAGAGTAAAGACCGGATTTAATTGATATTACAACTTTTTTTGCATTTAAGATAAATCAAATCTGATCAAATATGCACACGATTTGTATTAATTGCAGTCTTTCTATTTTATTTTATTTATGTTGCAATTTTTTATATTTTTCGTTATTAAATGTACCAATCAATATTTCTTAACTAATTTTATAATATAAAAATAATAAAATTGTTTAAGTATAAAGGTGTAATATAAGTATAGATATATACGTGGCGATATGGACTTCTATAGGTCAATAATAATATCGTTAACAATAGTTTATTACCCGTTACGATTACAGTTTTCAAAATAGTTTGTATATTGAAAAAGACAATTATTAAATTGTTAGTATCAGTTGCTTTCGTGTAATTATTATTATTAAAAATAATATATTTTAATTATTAAATACTTTAAATAATTTTTAAGAAAATAAATAATAGTTATACATTTTGAAATATTTTAAGAATACATTTTATTATGCAATTATTGTATTATTTTCATTGCAATTTCGGCATATTTTTAGCGCAACTAAATCTGGTCTTTAGTTATTACCTACCTAGTAGGTAGTTAAAGCAGGTAAACATTTGACACATTTTGAATAAATTATTATGAAAAAAATACAAGCAAAAAATAATATTCAAATTTCTTAATGTAATTGTAATAACATGATTAAGCACCTATATAATTCAAAATTTTGTAGATATACTTGAAGTACTGAACCATGGCGACAAAAATCTTAAATTTTATGTATAATAGGTATAATTTATATTAGTGTTTATATATCAATTAAAATTTACATTTATATACTACACCCAAATCAAAACTTTGATTTTGGTACGTAATGTATTGAGTTCTGTTTTTGATAGTTGTATATTTAAATACTATACAAACCATGAAATTTATACGGTATAGAAAAGTTATTTTTCATCAACTTGGAGGAGACAATGCGCTAAAAATAGTCTTATATACAATTGATAATCAAAATAATACACAAATGATTTGCCTTTCGTTTTTTTTTTACCATTATAATATCTTTAATCACCATAAACAAGATTACATTAATATGTCACTAACAGTTAGTGTAATAGATTGTAAAAAGACAAATGCATAAGTTACATAGTATATGAAAAGAAAAAAACAAAACAAAAAATCAAAATGACTTTAACATCTAAATTTAGGGGTACAACATACTATAACAAAAACAATGTAACGTTAAATGTACATTAAAAATGRCTAAGAATAGCAAAGTATATTATAACACAAAGCCTTAATACAGAAGTACTACTTAACACTCAACTTATACCTAATGGATCACTTCTCCAATCAAAGTATTAGGTTTAGGTACTATAAAAGAACATTTAAAAGTAATAATGGATGTAAAACATAGTCAACATCTTCATAAATCTAACATTTTAGTTTAAAAATAATTTACAATTTAATAAATGTAAAATCTAATTAGAGTTAATTTAATATCTGAAATTTATACACCAAACACTGTTAACATTTTATATTAATTTCATATAAATCATATTTACTCTATTTTTGTAAATGTATTATAATACAAATAAAGCAATGAATAAATTAAAAGTTTAATTATGATTTATGTTCTAAATAATAATACAAATATACATTATATTATTAAGAAAAGTACAAAAAAAAAATAATATTAGTAAAACATTGTTATGTATCTACCTACGAATTTAGATCAAAAATATATAAAAAGAGATCGCAACGCAACACATTTTTTTTTTTCAAAAGTTGTATTGCCATAATTTGTTTACAACAACTGTAGTACAAATAAAAATCAACAACAAATGAAACATTGTATATTACCTAACAATTAACTATTGACCAATTGCATTGAAAAATAAGAATACATTTTAAAAGCATGATACAAAAATGAAAATGTGATATTAATTAAGTAATAACATACTATGAAAATTAAAAGAGGGCCATTTTAAAATAGTTAAAATTGAATAATAGTATAATATACCATTTTATTTATTTAACAAAAGTATCTGCTAAATACATACGTATTTAATATCGATATTAAATGCCTCAAAGTTTAAAATTTAAACAAATTTTGCTTATTAACGACATAACAAATTGATAATATTGATAGTAAATATTTTAATACCTAAGTTAATGTATTATATAAACATGTATCATTATTTTTAAGTTAAAATTTTCATTTTTTCTTATAATTTAAGACGACAGCTGACATTTTCTATTTATATATAAAAAAATACATCCATCCCGATTAATCTTAAACGGAATTTTAAAACATTTTAAACATACATTAAGAATAGCAATAAAAACATTTTTTTTAAATTATTGACATATAAGTTAAATTTCAAGTAAGGTGTTTCCAGACATAATCAGCTAGAAGAGAAGTACATTGTGAGCACGAACATTTAGCTTCTTCTCAACTATGTTTTGGATGACCATCCATACCCGTGTGATGACGTGGTAGCTATAGAACAATTTTAATTATGATTAAGATTAAGAACATATATCTTTAAACAAAGTGTTTAAACTAATTTATAAACTTACAGCCATGTTAGGAGGTTGTTGTGGTGCAGCTTGGTACATTGGGTTAGAGCCCATATTATGGTTGACTTGTCTTCTGTTATCAGACCTTGGCTCTTGAACAACACCGCCACGGATGACTACATGGGAAGGCATATTATTTGACAAATGATTAGTTGGATGTCTGTAAAATAAATTAAGGAAAAATTGTAATATTTCAATTTAAAAGGTAGATTAGATGTTCAGTATACTTGTATTTATTTATTTATTTATGCAAAATCAATTACAATAAATTATATTAATATATCATATTTATACTACTGTACAAATACAGATGSTATGATTGTACGATGGACAGCCAATATAGTTTTAATAGCATATCTGGCTTCTAAAAATCGCTATACTCTGCGCATGTTAAGAGCACGGTGGTAACATCAGTTTTAGCGCCAAAAGTTAAATGATCCTGATATAACACAGTGAAGTGAGTTTTATTATTTGAGAAATATGAGTGCAATGTACACAAGACTGTTAAGTGTTTACAGTTGGAGCTACCCATATTATACAAAAGTCAAAATGGCGACATTGGTAAGCTGTGGGTTGTTTTAACTGCGTAGCTGGATCTTAACCCGCGTGGAGTAAGATGCAATTTTTTGTATGTATAATACGAAATATATATATATATATATTTATTTATTTTGATAACATAATACAGAGTTTGTTTTGCTACCATACTATCTATAACCATAATTAGTACCTGTTAGATATGTGGTTCTGATATCTATGTTGCAGTGACGAGTCAATGTTTCCATGATTGGGCTGATAATTTGACCTTGGTGGTTGAATAGGAATCGGAGCTTCGGTGTGGTTATTAGTAGTAGGAGGGGCTGGTGCACGGTTCCTATTGTCTTAAATGCAAAATATACATGTAAGTCAAATATTTTACTTAAATAATAATACATATGAACAATAAGGTAAATACTATAGGTTCATATAAATTACTTTGAGGTGTGAGTGGAATTGCTAGACGCGCATTCACGGCTAATAAGTGATCACGGCGTCTTGTATAACTAGCTAGTTCATCCTCCAAATTAACATTTTCACTCTTCAATTGATATAAGCATGTTAATAATGATGCAACTAATTTTTAACAAAACAGTTTTAATAAAAAATTTATAGCTTAATTAATATTGGCATACTATCAAAGTGCTGTGCTTGTTCCATCAAAAATGCTCCACCTTGTTCCCACTGTCTTTCAAGCAAATCTTCCAAACCTTGAGGACTATTATTATTAATGCCATTTGTAAACGATGACCATGATGATGCTGACCCTTGGGGTTGTGGAGTTTCCTGTAAAATAGTTAATGATGTAAAAAAAAATGTTAATATAATATGATTAGCTAAAATTTGAATTTCAACAAACTTGAGGAACAATTTGAGATGCCCTTTGATTTCGTCGCTGCAGCTGAGGACCCGACATTAAATTTGTAGGTACATTAGTAGACGAATTTGATTCATTATTAAACATTTTATGAGTTTCTATTTCCTCATTTAAAGTATCTGCCATTTTCTGCGCTACACTTGATGATGGATTCAATGAATTTCCCAACATATGAGGAGCAGCGGCATTGGTACTATTTTCAAATCTAAATGAACAAAATATTGTGAAAATTATTTTGAATACAGGTTATTATTGTTATATACTTTTTTTTTTCAGTTGCTTCTGTTTTGAGAACTTGTTTAGTATGCGAAGGAGAACTAATTACGCTGGTTTCATTTTTCAATGCACTGGATTCAGGCTTCTGGGTCAAATTTACTGCTGATCCACCTAAAACAACAAATTAAAATAATTTATAATTTTCAATTAAAACCTTTATTAGTTACTAATTAATTGGATTTTACGATTATTAAACCCAAATCTATAATTTGATAATGTAATAAATATTCCTAAAAATACTATAAACTCACTTGATTTAATAATGGTATTTTTATTGTCAACACGATACAAGTTTGGTTCTTCAGTGGCCTTTAAGCCACTAGATCTTTGATCTTCCTCAGACTTTGGAATATTCATTGCATTCTTTGTTTTTTGATACTTAGCTGAATGTTTAGTTTCAGTATCAGAATCGTCAGAATAACTTTTCTTATTTGCTGATGTGATTTCAACTTTTGTTCCTATAGAAATAACTAAATTTCCAGATGGATGAGTAGTTACAATATGCGGTCCTGATACCCTAAGATCTTCACTTTGAGTGTTCCGAGTTAAGTCCTTAGCTTTTTTCTCATTAGCAATTTTGTCACCTGAGTAATATACTTAATTGTAAATATATTTAATATTTTCAACAGATTTAATAATTGATGAAGTAAGTACATAAACTAGCATAACAATTACAATATACAGGAATAAATAAAACTTCAATATAGCACCAAGTAGAAGGGAATATATTTTTACTAATGATGTATTGCATATTAGCATATATAGATTATTCAACCAATGATAACTGGGATTCTGGAGATTAAGAGCTAGATATTAAGATTATTAGAATAATATTGTTTATATTATTAATTTTAAATGTTATAGAGATTGAATCATGAAGAAATGAACAATCATTAACAGATTAACCATGATATAACTAACTAGGTATGTCAGATAAGTTATAAAATGAGATTGACTACCATGAGATCGTAGGGTAATTATCAAATACACAGTCAAATTTAAAAAAGTGCAGAAAAATCTTAAGAGGATGTCAGTATTCTATTTGTTTTCTCTCTGGCTCACACTCGACATAGACAAAAAGCATTTACGCAGAATTATTTTTTCTATACTTTTTAAGTAATCAAAAAGTAAAATCGCCCATTATAAAAAAGATAGAGAATAATATTTTTGAGGGAATGACACGATTTGTCTAAATATTGTCTCAAACCAATTTAAATATTATTTAAATTTACATTTTTTGTTTATTTTTAAAGTTCAAAAATATTATTCTCTATCTTTTTGTAACGAGTAGTATTATTCTAAGATTACTTAAAATCATAAAAAAAAATGATTCTGCGTAAATGCGTTTTGTCTATATTAAATGTGGGCCAGAGAGAGAAAGCAAATATTGCATTGATATCCTCTTAAGAATTGTACCAAAAATATAGCTGCTGAACCCTAGAAAATACAAACACTGAACATTTAATATATCTATTTAAAATTACTCCAAGAATCAATTTCATGAAAAATCAAATTAAAACGGGTATTATAAAATGAAATGATAACAACCTGAGATTTTTTTATTCTCACTAAACCGTGTAGAATTATAATTGAATACAAAAGTTGGTAAAATATAATTAAAACCAAAATATTCATTCTCTACCCATATAGATAAGTCATTTAGACTATTAAACTAAGCAATTTTTTTTTTTTTGCTTTGATGGTGGTTCATTGACATATTTAAATATATTATAATATCATCCATGTTTATTTAAACATGCAAAAAACTAATTATAAAATAAAAACATACCAATATTGTTAATGATAGTCAACTTTCTTTTAGGTTTTGAAGTTTGAGAATCTGTATTATTATCAATTTTTTGAGGTGACTGTTTTTCAGGAGTAAGATCTGATGATGAGTTATCAGATTGATTTTGAGGACGGTATGGAGCAATAGGTTTTATATTATTGCTTTTCTTCTGAAAAATAGATGAATATCAATAACTAAGTAATTAATAGGTAACAGACTTAATTGTTATAAAAAATCAAAATATGTAAAAAAAAATTTAAGCAACCTCAATAACACATAAGCTTTCTGACAAGAGCATAATATTTGAGATTCCAATTGTATTATAGTATGTACCCAACCATTTATAAGGAAAACAACAAAATTCAATATAAAAAGACAGACAAATAACAGTAATTAATAACACAAATTCTGCCTGAATTAAAGTCTAGACATAATATTACACTGAAAAGTTATCTAATTAGGTATACTTATCAATAGTCAATATAATATTGGCATGCCAGCAAAAAAAAATACATAAATGCTATTTAGATAATGTAGAGTAGCGGTTCTCAACTTTTTATATCCAAGTAACACCTACACAATTTAAAAATTTTCATGTACCACTTGATCAAATAACGTTTTATTCGCCTATATAAAAAAAGTACACATGATATATAATTGTATTTTATTAGAAACAACAAAATTATGATAATATTATAAGCATTTAATTCATAAAAAGAAAATAGGATATTGGTAATTAAGTATATTATTATCGAATAAACCAAATAATATTTGATGTGATTTATTAATTATGTTTCATTTAATTTTTTTTATGAAAGGAGATTTTCTTAGGATACCACCAGAAAGCATTCAGCGTACCACAAGTTGATAAACGCTGATGTAGAGTATTTTGTCATCGTCAAAAATGACTAATCTTTTAGGCTTTCATTCAGGGCTTGAAATTGATTTCAAAATCGATTTTAAATATCGATAAAAATCGTTAAAATTGTTTAAATAAAATCAAAATTAATATCGAAATCGTGAATGCTTGTTAATGATTTTCAAAATTTCTATTAAAATTGAAAAAAGTTAAAATCGATATTTTATATCAAAATCATTGACATAATCAAATCGATTTTAAATAAATTTAAAAAAAAAATCAAAAGTATACAAGCATACAGATATCAGGTCTATTTATACTTAATATTGTTCATATGCACACTCATTGTTAAATTGGATAATAACATTGACTATACATATTGTTTATCATGCACAATAGTGTGTATAGTAATRACTACTAATAATTAATAACTTATGTCTAATATTTTGTTTTCTGAGAATGGAATATTCACAATATTGTATACATATTATAGAATAATACTATAATAGGAATAGGGGTTCGACGAGCGTTTGTTGTTGACTTGTTGTTATTGCAAGTTTTATTTTGATAGGTACCTACACACATTTGGCTCATTAAATGAAATGCTCGGAAAAATATTTTTTCCAATATTGTACATGATTAATTTTTTATTAAGATATTTTGTATTATGGCGATAAGATAACATCTTAGTCGTTGGCTTGCGTATGTCGTGTTAACTATAACAAAAAAGTTTGATAAAAATATGATTTGTTTTATATTAGTATTATTATTATTTATATTAGTATTATTTAACAATAATAAATAAAACATTGTGATGTTTGTAATGTGTGTCTTTATTGTTATTTTTTTAAAAATCTCTCTTTAAGAAACTGAAAATGTCCAAAAGTATGGAAATTTATTAGCTCATTACTTATAACTTATAAGGTACCTATGTTTTTTTGGGTGGCTCTAGTGTTATATACTTTTATTATTAAAATTCTAAACATTAGCCCTTAGGCATTGTTATTTAAATGGTGCGACAGCAATTTAGTTGATATAGTTAATCAATATTAGAATTTAAAATCTAAACATTCTAAACTAAATAATTAACTTTGTTTTAAATGTCAAAGTAATAAAAAATAATATACAATCATAGTTCAAAAATTGAAAATAATTCACTAATATCAGTGATATCGAAATAATGTTATTTAAATTTTAAAATTAAACTAAAATCGTAATAAAAGAAAATTATATTTAAAATCGAAATCATAATATTATGAAATCGATATTCTGCATCAATAAAAAAATCATAAAATCACAAAATCAATATATTATTTTTAAATCGAAATCGGAAAATATTAATATTGATAAGCAAAATTGAAATTAAAATTGAAAATTTTTATTTCGATTTCAAGCCCTGCTTTCATTACCTATCAAATTAATCAATGGCATACTTAATATCGCATATCAATATGTGGATAATGTTTAGATGAAGTACATAAATATAAAGCTTTCATCAACAAAAACCCAAAAAAGAATCGAAAGAAATTAAATATTACTAAAATATAAACTGATTTACCAAATATGCATCCATACCAAAATATGTAAAATAAATTTATGTTTATTTAAGTTCGAATAATCTAAATTGTATACACTTTTAATCAGATTAAAAATAACTCATTCCAATTTTTTATTGGAATTTTTTATTGTAAATACATATTTTTTATATGTATTTACAATAAAATCCAATCCCTAGTAATATATCCCTTGTAGGATATATAATTTTTAAATAATGAATATGTACAATAAAAATAATAAATACTAACCAACTTAGAATAATGATGTTTACAATAACCAACATATTTAACATTGTCATAATAATTTCCAGCTTCTTCACACAATAACCCAGCACTTTGAGCACATGTCACGTGAAATCCTAATTTGCATCCAGATTTGTTACATGACATGCATGCACCAGATACCGTTACTTTTAGTCCTTTATTTTTTTCTTCGCATATATAACACGCCTGAAAATTAAATACAATATGAATTAATTACCAAAAGTCAACAAAATTGTAAACTGATTTGTAGTTATGAATATTTAATAGCTATTACCTTTCAGCATAACAKTTTAAAAATATTATAATATATACATGTGGTTTTAAAACATAATTCTAATATACTCATTATTGTATTATAAATAATGTGCACAATGTTAAAAATAGATATACAAGGGCTGTTACATAAGATAAAGAATTAAAAAATATATAATAAATATTAATAACTAGAAAGAATAAATACTGTTAAATAAGCTAAAGAAATAAGTATAAAAGATTAAGCAATGTGCCATGCAAAAACTGTCTACAGCAATTAATTATTCAAGCTTTAAAGCTTTTATTTATACACTATTTATATCTTCTATGATTTATATTATTTTACTTTAAGCCTTTGCTGATTACTAATTTACTTTAATGATTTATTTTAGTCTATTTTAGTCATAAATAGTAGACCAGCCGTTAAAAATTGAATGACCTTTTTGTCATTAACTTCAAAATATTAAATTAAGTTAAATTATAAACAAATATATTTAAAGAAAATGCAATATATAATTTACGTAACTTTATTTTCATTTATCACCTATAAGACCATAAATGTTATTTTTTTTGCTATTTTGAATTTTAACTAACTTGATTTAATACAGTTTTTATACATTTTAACTTACAAAACTGAACATTCTGATGGGGCTTAATTTTATCAAAAAAATGTTGATGTCGAATGGTCATTGGGTATACAAAGATATCATAGACCTGAACATTAAATTCTGAAAGTCACGTGAAAATTGATATTTTTGGTTTTTCAATAGAAACAGTAATTTGTCAATTTTTAATTTTTAATTTTAAGAAGTAACCTAGAATCAATTTTATTATACTGTCATTTTTAATCCTGACAAAATTAAAATTTTTATGTTCATATCCATTATAAAGCTCTAGCACTAATATATTCATCACATTCAAATGTTGATACTTAATTTGTAATTAAAAAAAATCATGTATAGGGTACATAATATAGGTATTATGAAATTAAAAATAGAAAAGTTAATTAATATATTAATTTACCATAATTGAATAAAATATTAATACAATTTAATAAATTATTTAAGTTATGATTCCTGAAAAAAAAAACAAGACATTACCATTAACATGCAGAAATACTCTAATCATTTTAATAATTAAATATAGACACCCATCATAATTCAATTATCAATTATTATCATCTAATAACATTAAATACAAAAATATCAAAAAAAAATATTTTTGAATCTATTCAACAGTTGGAAACTAATTACAGTTAAGTTAAAGCCCTATTAAGACCAAAATAATTGATAATGTGGAAAATTAATATTATTTACTCTGTTAAAACGGTCACGGGGTATTGCACTCAATTTTACTGGTTCCATAGTAGTAACATCCATAAATGTAACTTCTGGTATATACAATGCGCATACAACATGAGCCCAGTTCCCATTTTCAGTAGGTTTAAGAGCGCCATCTTTAGATGGACACAGTTCACATTTCTGAAATTAATGCCATAGTTTTCTTACATTCTAAAAGGAGAGTTTTAAAATGAGTCTATTTTTTTTTTTAACGAACCACTTTAATAGATTTTTCTTTAAAAGCTTCACATTTCCTGCAAAACCATTCTCCTTTTGGTACAATCCGAATTCCATAACAAGCTGTTATAAGATTTTAACAAATTAAACAATATCTAGGTATTTTGAAAATTTCACAAAAATTGATGTTAAGGGTATCAAAAAATAGTTAAATTTTTAATAATGTGACAACAACTGTGCTATGACAGCAAACTTACCTTGATGTACAGCAACGTTACAATTAGGTCCATCACAATACACCAAGGGGTTTTCAGTCCATCCTGTATCATCACAACATACGCTGCATCCACCAAGCATTTCTTTCATATTGAATATTTACTACAGATTCAAGTATTACAAAATATATTTTAATAAATACATATCTGATAAAGATAATTGGGTAATAACGAATAAAACTCAACACAAACCTCAAGACACTAGGTTTGGTGGAAAATAATAATAATAATAATGTGATAGTGATTGCGTTCTAAGTTTAACCAGGATTCATTTCAATCAAATACTCGCTAAATCATACGCAAAAAATAAAACAAAATAATAAAACAGTAATAGATAATAAATATTATGTAAATATAAAAACACAATTTAATAGTATTATTATTATAGGTAAGTATTACTAATAACACGCAAAAAAAAAAAAACAAAAATATTGGTCTGCACATAATATATCAAACACCTAATAAACTGTTTTAGTCTACATAATATAGCTTGACCATAATATATCTTCACTATTAAAGAGTCATAATATACAAAAATAAAGTGGACTAGCAGTTAATAGAATTTATTCTGAACTAATAACAAACGGCAACAAAACATTTCCTATAACACTCATACAAACACAAATGGAAAAAATAAAACAAAGATTCTGAATGGGAATTATATTTCAACAGCATGTAATAATCTCGACATTCGGGCATTGGCGTTCATAGGCAGATCAGTAGAATAGGAAATAGATATTGTGTAGACTTATAACAATTCAACCACACTACAGCGAAATATTTGAAATGCTCCATTGCCACAAGCCTAATATTACCGATAAAAGTATTAACATAAATACAAACGAATACATACTTATTACTTTTTCTTATGCCTATCACTTAGTGTAAAATTTCGTTATTACAAATTAGATACAACTATGACATTACGGTGCATATCAAACATAAAAATGGTGTATACACCTCACGTTACTTATATTATTACTATTATATTTACTAAACAAAAATGAATTTCGGTTTACAACAACTGCGGATATAAAATCAATGATAACGCCGGGGCAAAAAAAAAAAAAAACGAACACTGTATAGATTTTCGATTACTGGAACGTAACGTTTGGTCGCACGGCGCTGGTACGCCCGACGCCGTACGCATAATATGAACTCGTAACCAGTAACCACTATCTACCTCAGTGATTGTAACAAATCGCGAGTCCTCGATCGAGCGTCATAACATCACTAGTTTTGAATGTTTTGATAAGAAAACTGAAACACGTTCTTAGCTTTTAATGTTTTAATACCTATGAAATTCTATTTCTACTTAGTGTCTTAGTAGTCAGTAAAGAAACCTGATGTGTAAATAAGAATATTAGGTGTACTGAAAAATAAATCGACTTGTACTGGAGACGAATCGACCCGAATAATTTTTCAATAGACAAACACAAACTCCTTACTAGAACATCTAATTTGTTGAGCGGCTTTACTCTAATACAATATTTAAAAATCATGACCAAACAAGCTTTACCATGCTTCCTAAGACAATTTACTATCCCGCTGTAGCAACAGCAGCTAAACACAACACCAATCTCCCGATATGTCCATATCACCCTAGAATTATCTGCGGAAAAACAATATGTTTTGTAAGTAGGTTACAAATAAAAAATTCCATTTGATGGTAATTTATTATTATTACCTATATATTTTATTAGAAATATTTTTTTTCAAAATAGCCATTTTTAAGTCAATTAAAAGAAGTTTAAACATTTTTAAAAAAATTGACTGAACTACAGAATATACTTATATTTTTGACTTTTTTAAATAGGTAAAATATAAAAAAAAAGTGTGCTTTCTATTGAAATTCACTTTTTTATATCTCCATGAGATTTAAGCATAATTAAAAATGTATTTGATTTGTGATATGTAGTTTACCTTAACAATCATGAAATTTATTTTTTCCAAATTAACGTAAACCTTAATAAAATAATAAATTTAAATCCGAAAAGATACACTGTGGTTACAGTCAGTCATAAATATAATAATTTGCAATTAATTATAAAATGTTAATGGTAAAATTTCAGTATTATACTTTTTAAACATATATTATTATATATTATTTGAACATTTTGAAATACCATATGCACCTAGGTAAATTTATATTTTTTGAAATTTTTATATTTCCTAACATAAACTAGAACGTAAATTACTTTTCGAGAGTATTGATATTTAAAAAAATTGTAAAAAATCAGCCATTTAATATAAATAAATTTTTTTACTATAAACATTTTTCTCAAAATAAGATTTACAAATTGGCTATATTGAATTTTCTAGACATTTTTTCTAGACATTTTTTCTAATCAATTTTTAAGTTTTTTTTTCAGTATTAAAAAATAAAAAATGTAGCACAATATTTAAAAAAAAAATTTAAATATAAACTATATCAAAAGTATTATTTCATTTGTCAGAATGTCAAATCTCCGTAGGGCACCCTGTATAGTAATTCATTATTAATCATAATCTTGTTTCTTAAAGCCCAATAGTGCATCTTGTTTACATACTTTAGGCCACCCGTCTTTACAAAATGTAAGTATCTACTACCTACCTTAGAGCAGTGTTTCTTAACCTGTGAATTGCAAGAGATAGATAGACTGCCCCGGCGGCCGGTACTCTAAAGATAATTTTCAATAGGGTTCCGCATTAAAAAAATATTATTATTTGGTGTTCCGTGAAATCAAAAAGGTTGAGAAACACTGCCTTAGAGAATACTTCATCACTTTTGGTTTTCTCAGCAAACTCAACTTCTTTAACATCCTTAAAATCTATCTGAAGTTTACTTATTGTATATATGTCATCTCGCATGTTATCTTATTTTCTGTTCTTTCTTTTTACGAAGTTCCTACCGAGTAGATCAACAGACAACAATAMACATATACTCAACTGGTAAATAATCAAGATCTATATCGTATAATAAAAATTTAAATCTTAATCTCTTTAAGCGATTGTTAAGAATTTTATGTAATTCATTTTTCATGACAGACGCTAACGCTAAATTATCACCTTTTGTCTCATTCCATTAATTAAAGAGTGAAACATGTTACATGCAAAGTAAATCGCCAATATTTCCTTCTATATTTGTCCAAATGATATTTCTGTATCACTTAAACATCTTGATGCTTTACATAATGTATTGGACATTAATTTTGTAACATACAACAAACTACCATCTATAATGCTTCATATATTATACTGTATCTCTAAATCATGATAAATCTCATAGTTTTATAGAGTTGAAATTTTACAAAATATTTCTTTTAAGTTATTGAACACTGTTTCGTATTGTTTACTCCTATTCCAAATCACATTTTTCTTAAGTACTTCACTGAAATGATTGAAATGTGTAATTATTCCTGAAAAATTGGGTATAAATGCTTTAAGATAATAAATCATGTCCAGAAACGATTGTATTTGTTTAATTGATTGTGTTTCTCCTTTATTGTTTTTACCCTGTCAGAGGCTGGTATAACACCATCCTTATTAAATATAAAACCTAGAAATTTAACTTGTTTAACAGCATACTGCCCTTTATTACGATTAAATTTAACATTTAGTCTATGAGCTCTATCCAACACTTTTTTCATAATTTGATCATGTCCATCCCTATAATTTGTACTAACTAAAATATTATCGAAATATTTTGGAACAACCTCAATGTCCCCAAAGAATTTAATCATTTTTTTTTTTTTTTGGAACAATTTTCGTGCCATTGGTATTCCAAACAGAATGTCTTTTAAAACGTGGTACATTAAATGACTGAGCCATTTGTTATATTATTATTTATTTGTTCATAATATAATATTAAAAAAGAAGACATGAATCATATTAGGTACTTTTTTAATTAGTATATTGTAAAAATAACAAAACCACATTTCTGAGAGATTAATTGTATCAGTGTTGCCAATGTTTGTTATCTAGTTAGCGGGGAAAATATGACAAAATTACAGTACTATGAACAATATTACCGTACATTGATTATATATATATTATATATTATAACACCTTTTAATTCTCTGGTCATATCTTAATATCGCACCAATAAAGATCTTAACATCCTTATGTTAAGATGTTCTTGTATATTATTTAAAGCTAAATATAAAATGTATCTGATAAACTCTGTTTTCTTTTAAGGAGAAATTCTATGGTTTTTAACTAGGGATAAACTAAGCACCATCTTAGTCCAGCCCACACAATATTATGATTAAAAGTCAGAGTCAGGTTCTAAGTTCAATGTTATATAAATTTAGGGCTGGATTTAGACCCCCGGATGCCCAGGGCAAATCTTTTTTTGATGCCCCTGACAGAAAAAATATTAAAAAGGCACTACCACCGCAATGTTAAAAATAAATTATATAACCACTCGCACGTTTATAATTATATACTAAAATATTTTGTTTGCTGGATGCCCCATTGGCCAATGTCATTATTCTGTTGTCAGGTGACATCTTGATGTTTTAATTTTGTAGCCCCAAAATTTAAATATAAATCAATATTAAATTTTTTTTTTAGTATTTCGATCTCGGATGCCCCCAAACATCTGTTTCCCGGGGCAAGTGCACCTAAAGCCCCCCGTCAAATCCGGCCCTATTAATACATAATAATAATATAAAAATAAAATAAAATACAAAATAATTACTACGAATATGGCTAATTTTTTTTTTTTTTTGAATTTAGTAATTTACCGTAATATTTGGTCTATTAGGGGTGACCGTACTCCGGCCATACGGAGTATGAAATTACCGTAATCCCCCGACAAATACCGTACCATTGGCAACACTGAATTGTTTATTAATTTAAAAACATAACCTTCGATACCTACATGTTTTCAAGACAGTTTGTACAACTGTCACACTAGTCGTCGTGGCGTCGTGGTACAGTAAGTTATCCCAATCATGATAAGAACTATGTCATAACATAGTACCAACCTTCAAAATAAAAATCCCAAAGTATTCTATTTATTAGAATGAAGACCGGTCTCATCGGCTCAACATTTGGCGCGAAAATATATTTAAATTATTACAGCCAGCAATCACTCAATCAATAGCCAAACATCCAAACAAAAACATAATTAAGAATTAGATTTAGTATTTAGTAATTTATTATTATATTTAGTAATTTATTATTAATGAGGTGATCAAGATTAGGTATATTAAGTATGAAATATAATACTAGTTATATACTTAGGTACCTACTACATAATTATGAATGATACAGACTACTCATATTAATATAAGCGTTATATTATAAKCGTTAAGCATATTATTGACTGTAAAATTACGTAATAGAATATAACATGGTAATAGCTACATAAATAAAATTTGTATTGGTTTGCTATAGCCCCGCCAGGGTTAATGGAAACTTTATATAGCCCAGCCACTCAGGTTTGTATTATCTCCCCGTCATCCATAATAGTAAATAGCTAAGTCTTAAGTGAATCGTATAAATATATAAAATTATAAAATAAGATAAAATGTTAAGTATAAAAATGTATAAAAATGTTTAAGCTTTCGTCCAAATTAGTTCAATAAATTGATGGGAACATTTGTAATTTACTTAGTAATTAATTTTTATATTTTAATAATTTAATAATCGACATTATATATAATATATATACTTACTACTTAAATATATTGTATATAACTTATATTTACAATATATATTTTATGTATAAAGTATCTGTGTTCTGAAATAAAAATATTTACCCGATTTTATAAAGTAAGTTTTTTTAGGTACTTACTGAAGAACACCTTTCTTAACAGCGCGTCCTTGAGAATTGATTTTGACAAAAGTGATTGAACAATTGCAGTAGTAATATAACTTACCACTTACTGTTATAAGAACAATACTTTTACCGTACCATCTTCAATAGGTATCTCTGATCTGCCATTTTCATTCATTTTGATTCGAATCAATATCTCTACCTCACGTAAACGTAACTATAGGTTTATCTTTTAAAGGTTAATAAGGAGTAAGGACTTACAAAAAAACTATACTGAAAGTAAGTACGCAAGGATTTGAAAAAAATCTATTGACGATCTCGTAAATCGTAATAACCGTTAATATGACGATATCGGTAAGTTCACTGATATATATTATGATTTGTCACTTACTATTCGAGCTAGGACACTGCAGGTATGTTGTATTACATGATGTTGTGTGAAGGATCGAACCAGACTGGCGGTCTAAGCTGGGATAATATCTTGATCGTTGGTCCGTTGCGTCGTATTATTATATCTATATAGTGTACAAATCTTGAAAAAAAGGATGAGGGTATGCAATAAATCCATTTATTACGGTTTTATTTTTTTATAGGCATGTCTCTGCGGGATACCAACTGTATTGTAGTTATAAAAGTACCTAGTGGTACCTTCTTCAAGTGGACAATTATATATTTTATCTTGACACCGCTAAACCGGGCCTATTATTGTTATCGTTTCATTTAATTTATTACCATAAAAATTCTTTGATGTTTAATAGGTGCACATAAAGAGTTAAATAGGTGGAAGGTGGAATAAGGGAAGATGAATCAACCTCTTTACAATATAATATTAAATAATGCATTTAAATATGTGTATATATATATATATATATATCACCAAAGATTATCAATAATTCTGAATTCATTAAATTCCTAAGAAAATGTAATATGGTGCTGCTACATTCCCAGTCGAGTTATTAAATTAAAAAGATTTCCACTTCACTACTATACCGAAAAACATCATATTTGTGATTCTTAGATTTTAATAAACTAAAAAAATGATATCCCTATAAATTTCTTAGCATTAATCTAAATATTATGTGGATGAATACATCTTAGACATGAAAACATGTTAATAATAATAATATTAATAATTTATGACTGGAATGCAAAGCCGATTACTTGCCATCCCAATAAATACGCTAGTAGTAATAATAATCATAAATAATAATATTACATCTGTAACACCTAAATAAATAAAGTAATATATATATATATATATATATATATATGTATATTTATAGAATGATAATTCAAATACCAGCAGATCTTCTACATTTATTAGATAGCAAAAAACAAATTACTAGCTTAAGTGATAATAAAGTACCATATTGTGAAGTAGTTGGAAATTTATTATATTTTAAATCTGAAAGTATTAATTATATTTATATATTATTATTGTTTTACTTCTATTGGAAGTAAAATAATAAATTAACACAAATACCTTACAAAACTATTAATATATTATATTAAATTGTATAAGTTATTAAATATTTTATTTCTTGTACAGTTTACCAACTGGCTAAATATAACCAATTTAAACAAATAATGTTTTAAGAAAATAATTTAAAACAAAGACAAATCAGTTAAAAATATTTATTTTTCAGATCATAATAAAAGTATACATTCTTAATAGAAAAAAGATATATAACAATTTTTCTTAGAGATAAAAAATATGGCTATAACAAAAAATAAATTATATAAAATAATATCTAATAATAACTTTAATATTACAAAAATATATGTATGTAAGTAGAGATTATCACAAAAAATAAACAACATAAATTAATCAGCCAAATACACACATTGTAAATATTATTTAATAATTGAATAGTTTGAAATAAATTCATTATATTAAAATGGGTTGGCTGAAAATGAGGATAAAATCAAATACTTCTACATCATAGTGATATAAACTCAATATAAATAACTGTAATTTTTAAAGGATGACAATTTCAAATACTTAGAAGATAGGAATAATATAAATAAGAACACCAATAGCCATAAAGGAACGGAAATAAGATTAATTAACAAATATACACTATTCAACTACTTTTATTTAGGGGTAAAAGTGGAGAACAATTAAATGAGATGCATAAATGAAGGCAATTAGTATTTGTAGCAATAGACCTAAACGGCCCATACAAAACTAAGAAGAAGAATATAATCAAAATAATGTTTTCTAATTAATAATTTAATAACTGTTAAATGATGTAATTATATTAACTATAATATTACATATCAATTTAATGATACTATTAATAAATACAAGTTTTATAAATTAGTTTCATTTTAATAAATTAATTCAATAACCAATAATATGAAATGTAATTAACAGTATGTACTTTAATATTATTTATAAAAATATCTCGATATTAAATTAATAATCAAAACAAATTTGAATTAAGTTAATAATACTAATATTATGTTTTTAATACCCTGAGTAATTTTGTTCAATAACAATTTACATGTATTATAACCTACATTTAATTAATAAATAAAATTAACTATATATAACAAAACATAACTATATTTAATCTTTAATTTTCTAATGATTGATTGTTAAAGAAATATTTTTAACAGATCTATTTAAAATAAATAAATAAAGCTTAAGTAAAATATACATTTTAAGTAGTTATTTATTTGTATCTTAAAAAAATTTAGTTTATCTATAAAAACCATTAAAATTATGAGATAAAATAAAAATATAAGAAATACTGTATACATAATTAAATATTCAGTAAAAAAATAAATAAAAAAATATTGAAAATCTCTTAGAACAAAATTTGTTGATGAATAAAAATTAAATTAGTCTACCCAAAATTCTACAGTATTGTCAAATATTTAGTTTAAAAACCAACTTGTACAAAATTTGCAGTCATAATTTATGATATATGCAGTTTGAATATATTTTATATACTGATATCAGTGGAACAAGTCCAAAATAGTAGTCCCAGTAGAGATCTATGTAATAAAATTTAGTTAACATTATTTAAAAAAAGTATCAAATTTTTATTGAATCCGAAGCAGTAATATAAGTGATGAAATTGTCAATTGTTAGTATCACAACTATTTTATTGTATCTTTAGTAGTGTAGATTATAAACAATAGAAAAGAAAGTGTATTCACAATCTACCATGTCTATGTCGAAAACTATAAATGGATATCATATATATATAAACTTGTTGCTCATAAGTTTAATAAAATATATTTTGGAATTATAGTATTATTATATAAGAGGGCATAATTTTAACTTATTTTTAGATGGACTGGATAAACAGTTATTTGTAAATTGACAATTATAAGCTGGGTCTAATACTAAACTTATCATTAGTAATAATATAATAATTATTTTTTATTTAATTTAAGTTTTGTTTGTTGAATTAAAAATTAAAATAAATGTATTATTAATTTAAAAAAATTGTAATAATTAATGAACATAATAGTGGATGTAACGTAATGCATATTTGCAAACAGTTAGTAATACAAAAAAAAATATATTTATCAACTGCTGTCTAGTTAATCTACCAATTAGGTAACATTTAATTTTAAATACCAAAATATTACACTTATGGTTTATGAATAATGAAGTCCCAAGTATCTTTCCATCGTAGTTTAAGAACTTCTTTAGATGTTAGAGGAGTAGTTCCATAACTGAAGACAATGAACTTTTTAAATACATACATAACACTTAAAATCCATATGCAAAGACTTAAATGAAAAATAAATCTCGGGATCAATTTTGCTCTGGAAATAGATGATAAAATTAATACATTATAATACAATATAATAATTATAACATATTAATTGATTAATTTATTTGAGATAACATACTTCACGATATTTGCCAGATGTTGCATAAAAGCAGCACACAATAATATCTTAAATACAAGAGCTGGCAAATAGTGATGTAAAAATAATGTACGATCGACAAAAAAATATGGGATATAATGTAAGCCATATCCAACTACTAATACTTCTCCAATTGTTTTGAATTGTTCCCATTCATCTAGTAAAAAATTAAAACAATATTGACTATGAATACTTTTTATAAAATACTAAATTACATACCAAAAGATAAATCATAAATTTGTCTTCTTTGACGCAGTACATAAAAAGCAAAGAATGATAAATATAACAATAGACATAATGTCGATGAATACCATACAACAATATTTCCCAACAGGTGAATTTGTCCCTGTAATGAAATTTAAAACAAATAATTATACATACAATGTTAAATAATATGTATGATATAAAATTGACTAACATTATCATGTTCACTTAACCAATAGGCCACTCCTCGGACCATTAACGGCCAATCGATAGGTTCACTGCTATACATATGTGAGTGAACATTTTGTGTGTTCGGTGAGGAAAATATAATTTTATATTGTAATTCCCAAAATCTTTCCCAAAGTCCCAATTTTGTTCCTTTTGGTGGTATCATTTCAGCAGCGACAAGTTCACGTTCTCTTTCTTTTTCATTTTCACCTAGAACATGATTTTAATAACAGAAAAATAATAAGTACCTTCAATAGCGTAACCAGGATTATGAAATAATAAGGGGTTTCAAGTAGTGGTGGGCATATCCAGATTTCAAAAATAGAATTATTCACGGATTATATAGATTATTCAACTTGATTTTACTGTTCAATGACTCATTTTTATATCCTAATAATATTTTAATTCTATAACAAATTTCAAACGCATTTTAAGTACCAGTCACCAGTGATATCATAAAACTTAAGTATTAATTTATTGTTTAATTCTCATGAAAATAAAATAAAATAATTTATTTAACCATACATTAAAAATAATTGTAAGTTTTAAGTCATATAAAAAGCATATTATCTATAAATCCGAATAATTTAAGAATTCCATATTAGAATATGATTCAAATCCGGATTTGGATATCTGGATATTCAGATATTCGGCTTTCATGGCCATCCTAGTTTTAAGTATAAATTTAATCAGGCTTTTTACAGTTTTTGTATATTATTAATAATTTTTTAGTGGGCGGGTAATGCCAATGGGGAGAAGGGGGAGTTAAACTCCCAAAATACCTTCAACTACGCCACCAGATACCTCAAATTATTAGTTAAAGTTTTTTTTTTACTTTTGGTATAGCGATGTTCCTCAACATTCCACACTGTATCATCTTGAGATATTATCTTATCTGTAACTACTTCGTGCTGATTAAATCCCCAATCTGGCAACTGTCTACCACTGAATTTCAATGCTTGTGATGAATTTAAATGAGTTAATATAACCTTAAGAGCATAAAATTAAAATAAATAATAATAATTTTTTTTTTTTTTAATAAAAGTACCTGAGAATTAATAGCTTGCCAAACATCTCCAAATTGATCACGATTGATTATTTCTACTTTCCACAGATTTTGAGCAGGCATAGAAACATTATAATCAATGTAACATGACACTTCCTAAAATAATTAATAAAATAAATTATAAGACATGGAAACTGTTGTTGAACATATTTTGTAAACTTATATACATATGTGTAGTGCATTTTCATGAAACATTGATTAATTAAATAGTTCACTAAGATTTAATTGAAAATCATAATTAAGGACCACCATCTCATCATTGATTATTATTTTATTAGTATACTATATTATTATTTTTTAATTTTTAGTGATTATTTATGCAACCTAGTAATAAATAGAGCAATTTAAGTAAAAATTTACTTGATTTTGTGGTGATACAGGTGCTGCAACATCATGCGAATTTAAAGCACGACTTGTCATTCCATGTACCAACTGAATAATATCACCATGTTTTATACCATCTGGGTCCTTTGTATTTTCTACCGCTAACGTATTTTTCTCTGGTCTTTTAACTATCCACCAATTATTTACATCCTGTAAAAAGTAATTAATAGAAAAGTTTAAGACTACAAAAATATAAAACAGGATTGATTTTTTAATTTAAAATTTTAAAATTAATATTATATAATATAAAATATACAAATTACCTTAAATGTATAGCATGTAACTTGTTGCTGATGAGAACTTCCTCTTTTATCCGCATATTTTATAGGATAAACATGAGTATGCGAGTGAAGCCAACATGTCCTTCCATGTGTATGCCGTAATGTTATTTGTGATCCATGAGAAACATGCAAAGGTTGACCTTTAGTTATTGATGCTAGTCCACCCTAAATAAAACATTTAACTTAATAACAATTAATACACCAATTTCAAAAAATATCAAACACCTACCTCTAAACTAGCTTGAAAGGCACTTGTCATAACACTGTCATGTGGACCTGCTTTGTTTAAAATTATAAGGTGGATAAAAAATACAGAGAAATAAATGGCAACTGATATCACAAATGTAATAATACATCTTAATACTACACATAAGAAAATAGTCAAATCTGATAGGCGCTTGTCACCTAAATGGTTAACCCAGAAATCTCTACAAATTATCCATAAACTCAAAAGCCACGAGAGAAGTCCAACATATTTGACACTATAAAAAAAAATTATATATTTTAAATTACTATATTTTATTAAAGAACGGATTTAAATGCTCTAAAAAACAAGAAAAATGCCTTAAAAATATGATGTAATTCACTCATAACAGAACTTTTTTAAATAAACTAAAAAAATTATCTTTAAATTAATTTTATCATCCTATTTTTATTTACCTTTAAAATTTTTTTTATAAAAACAATAAATAATAAAAATTGAAATAAGTCGAGACAAAATAAAAGTATTTTACTTTTTTCTTTTAGATTGAATTTAAATTAAATTAATAACAAAATAATTATTCATTCTCGTATAAAAATGACTTAAAAACAAAAATATGCAAATAATTTATAAAAATAAAAGTTACATTTTTAATTCCTTGATGTATAAATAAACTTGAGGTTGGAAAGCAATGTTTTCAGACATTCAGGAAAAAAAGCAATTTGTATTCAAATCCGTTCCCTATATATATATATATATTTGTATAAAAATGAAGAAACAACTTTATTTACCATGTGGCCATAGTTAGACAAATAGAAGCAATTATTAAGTATGTCAATGCCCAAGGCGATCTCATGTTCTGTCTTTTATACTTAAGCACAAATAATAATCCACATAATGTAAAAAATATAAGTATAGACTCCATCAAGATGAATCGAGACTGTGTTAATAATGTGTTTTCTAAAATGAGAAATTTAATAAATAGTTTATGATGAAAAAATAAAAATAATAAATACATTACCACAAAGAAGAAGAAATGAAGCAAGAGCAGCACACCAATGTCGACATCCTAATTCCAACATTAACTGATAAGCAACAGGAATAATCAGACTACCACATAATGCTGGTACAAAACGTAAAGCAAATAATGGGACTTCATCAYTAAATTCGCTTCCAATCCTTTCAAATTTAAATTGGCCTAAACACAATTATAAATAACATTGAATAATACTTTAATTAAATAATATCAAAAACGCCTAACAATTGATTTTTACATCATTGTAGTTAAAATTATATTAATATTTGATAAGATAATTTTCTTTTATTTAATGAAATAAACTGTTGGAAGGAACATACCATTGTAATTACATAAATATGCAACAGCAGCTATTAGTTGYTTTCCAAGAGGTGGATGAGTGTCAAAAAAAAATGTTCGCTTCATATATAAACTAATATATTTCCCATGGTGAAGTTCATCAAATCTATATTTTTGATATATATATTATATAAAATATAAATATGAAATTAGTAAATGCATTTTTACATGACATAGGTAATTGATATGACATGAAATAGTTTCTTACACAACATTACGAGGTTGATCAAGTTTAAAAAATCTTGATGACAGAGCTGACATAAATAGTATCACTGCCAGTATATTTATTTCAATACTTATTTTAAAATTATTAAATATATCAGGTTTTTGTTCTATAAATAATTTTTGTTCGTTGGTTTCATAGTCTTTAGCAACACATTCAGGTTCTTTTTCCTAGAAATGAAGAATTCATTCAATGTTTTAAAGTACATTAATTAAAAAAATTGATATCTATATTTATAATAACAAGAATGTGTAAAATTCTTGGTGAACAATACTTAATGTGTACTATGTAAACAACGTACATAGCAAACATTTTTATTTTAAACAATAAGAATTTATCAACAAAAATACTCTCACATTAATTGAAAATTCCAATTTTAAAAGTCGAATAGTTACAATCAATACTCATTGTATAATTATACATTTTCATAATATCATAAAACAACGTGTTGTTTAAAGATTTGTGTTTAATGCTGGTAATTTCAGCACATCGCTATCCTAAAATCATAATATATAGTAAGCAAACCTGATTTTCAATATTTTCAGTCTTGTTCTTTTTCTTAGTTTGTTTTTTGTTCTTGGGCTTGACTGATCGATCTTCAGATTGCTTTTCCATCTTTATTGATTAGTTGTTTTGTTCTAATAATGCTGATCATGTAATATTGAAAATCAGGTTTGCTTACTATATATTATGATTAGTTGTTTTGTTCTAATAATGCTGATCATGTAATATTGAAAATCAGGTTTGCTTACTATATATTATGATTAGTTGTTTTGTTCTAATAATGCTGATCATGTAATATTTTTAATTCACGTTCATACTTAGTTATGATAGCTAGTATGTTTCTACTTGAATGTAGATAACTAAAATCAAAAACTGTCGATTTCCAGACCTTGCGAGGTAAATTTTTTTTTAAAAGTAACTTTTGAAACGACGTCCAAGCATTTCYTTAGCTTTGCTGACATGTCAATCGGATAACTAACGATAATATTGATACGAACCGTGTTATTGAAGATAAGAATAAGATTAGGAAATGTGATAAGATGTGATTTCGCGACCAGCCGGCATGTTATGGATTTGGTATAGTCCTTGCCTCCATGTTATAGTAATTATATAGTCAGCACTTGATTTTGGCGGATTGGTCATTTGTATATTTTCTTTTATTTGTAAATAAAAGAAATTGCTATATAGTGTATGAATGTATGATATAACATTTCATTTTTAAGTTCGACAAATCATTTCAATTCCTTTTGTCGCAATGTAGTGCATTTATGTTTTAATACAAAACATTGGCATTTAATTTATTATTATATTGACAAAAAATTATAATATCATATTTTTATTTTTATTATACATAAAATGTGGATTTATAAATAAAAATATATAATAAATAACATTAATTGACTTTGGACTTTTTTTCGCKAGACTTTTTTACCGAATTTTTGTTCATCGGACTTTTAGGCAGAACTCCAACGTTTCCAGAGTAGGTTAATTTTAACTTCGAGACAAAACATGACTCGACAGACGATGCGGTTATGAATTCGAGTTTAATCTTAAATTAATGTTACGAAATAAATTGTGTATACTCTTAGGCATAATCTGGGAGGGGGCAAGGGGCAATACTTACTCACACTTTACAATCAATAATAAAAAAATATTACTTATACCTATATAGGTACATAGTTATATGTAATTAGAACAAATAGTTGAGTTCATAATATGCAGACTCGTTTTATCTTACCCCAAAACAAGGAACTAACAGATAAAAAACTGTAACAAAGGAATTTATGGACTTAAGAAAGGTTTTGATGTATGAATATAAACCAGGCAAAAGATAATAGTGGTTTAAATAAAACTGTAAACAATTAAACTTAATGTGACTGTATACTGTATACTAATTTTAGTATTAAATATTTAGTTCTCAAATAAAGGGTTATTTATAAAACAAATACATAAATTATTTTAAAATAGTAATAGATACTTTTTAATAATCTTAAATACATACAAATATAAGAATTATGATTTATTACTTTATTAGTTTATTACTATATGTATTCACTAAATTTAGCTAGCATTTTTTTTCGCGTTGTTTAATTGAATTTTTATCTCTTATAATTAAATATTTATGTATAATAATAATAAAATAATAACTGTTGCATACTCATGGTTATAAAACGTACTATAATATCATTGAGTATAGATAGTATGTACTTTGTATCAAATGTTTAACCCTTTTCGATAAAAAAAATCATAAATAATAATTGTATGAAAAGAAAAAATTGACAAAAAACTTCGACGTTCAATAACGGTCACCTATCCATTTACGTGGCATAAAACCACCGGCTGAGCCGAAGGAAACTTGAGAGAATCCCACGACCGCCGGAGGTTGTCCTATGGTGCCAATAGTAGAGAAAAATATGTTATTTAGATTAAARCATTTGTCGTTGATAATAACATGATTTGTTTATTTTTGTTAAAAATTCATTACAGTTTCTTATAAGTTATCCTTATAGTGATTAAAAAATTATAAGAATACATAGGCACAATTTTTTTTATTAGCATTTGA